AGCCACAGCACGAATAGGATCGGAGTTTCATTCATTCGAATGAAATTGCGATCCAAACAAAGTCCCAAATTGCGTTCTAACACTAATGGAGAAACTGTTCTCATTCTGTTAGGACGCAATTCTGCAGTTTTGCCGGCGTTCTGTCTAAGTGACAGGACGTTCGGCAATACTGACAGGAAGCATCGCAGGAACAGGGAGGAAAGTTAAGGAGTATGGAAAAATTGCTCTGACCACCAGAAACGAAGCACACTTTGCTCCTCCGCTGGTCATAGCTGGTCATGGCATAGGAAAACCTCCAGATGAGAAATAGTCCCTACTTTGTCTTAATTTTTAAAGAAAACTAGAGCAGACAGGAAGAAATGAATAACAGATCCTGAGAGAGTGAGATAAGAGGAATCGATTGGGGAAAGGTAAGTTCGGCACGACAATGCCGCTTGAACGTGGTTCGAAGAGCTCTGCAGGAGTCTGGTACAGACTCCAGTGTGTTCACCCTATACCAATGGCTACTGGTGGTAAACCTTGAACACAGGGATTCCTTCAAAAGACAATGGGAAGAGATAACATCCCGATCCTTCTCGAGGCCCAATGGGGGAAAATTTTCCTCCTCCAGCATAAAAATTAGATTACCACCAAATACCAAGAGGTAAACTATAAATTAATCTCACAATGGTACCGCACACCAGCCCTACTTCACAGGATATTCCTGGCAGTACCTAACATCTGCTGGAGATGCTAGGAAGCAGAAGGGACCACGCTAAGATAGTGCCATACTGGAACATGATCAAAAAACACAATGACAGAGATCCTGGGGGAGACACCAGAGTTCGATATCACCAATGTACTCCTGCACTCAACCAAGCTACCCGTCTCACATTATAAAAAAAAAAATCGATCCTGTGACATCTAATCAACGCAGCCAAATAGCTAGTGTTGGCCCTATGGAAACAAACTATTTCACTGACGCTCGATCAATGGCTACAGAGGGTGGAGGAAATACACTCCGCTGAGGCTAAACAAGCAATAATACTTGATCAACGCGACAAACACGCAGAGAGGTGGCGCTCATGGTACATGTACCAGGCGGGCACCAGAGGGGGTGCAGGTGGGGGAGGTGCCGATAGGGGAGAGTCGGGGGGACCGATGCATGCCGGCCCACTGCCACCACTCACCCCTTAAAGACCACCTTTCCCCCCCCTTCACCTACTCACTTAACCACATCACACTAAAACACACACACTGCTGTCTCCCCCGCCAACTTCCCAAACCCAGGCAGACCCATCCCCCTATCCCCACACCCCTCTAACTACTCAACTAACCTAACCACGACGACAAGAACAAGACATGAGGATACACACAACACGACTGATAAGCCACTGAGGAGGTGAGGAGACCTCCCCACCCCCCAAATAGAACAATTTGAAATGTCAACTTATATGCTGACTCATAACACACACCCCGAGACAAACGACTACCACCACAACAACGGTTATAGCCATAACACCCAACAGCCTCTGATAAGTCATACCACAGCCCATGGTAAAACACACGAACCAAGACGCTGACCCGCACCTTTCCACCAGGACAGAACTCAAATAAACCCAATGTACCGATACTATAAGACCTTGAGGTTAAGGGGCCGGACAACCAAGTTGTGTTAAATGACCCTAAATACAGGCACACTAGCACATAGCTTCACAACACGCAGATAGACGCCATTCCTGTGGCTTCAATTCATACCCTGATAGGAGGTTGAGCCACGCAAGTCAATGCAATGTTCAGATCATTTAAATTGCTCATCATAGCACTACGGGGCAAATTTACAAAATGAAGGTATAGTTGAGGAGGACCCGCATATCGCACCGCCAAGCCGCACCCAATTATTATTATTATGATATTTATAGAGCGCCGTCAAATTCCGCAGCGCTTTACAATGGGTGGACGAACAGACATGTAGTTGTAACCAGACAAGTTGGACACACAGGAACAGAGGGGTTGAGGGCCCTGCTCAGTGAGCTTACATGCTAGAGGGAGTGGGGTAAAATGACACAAAAAGGTAAGGATAGTATTTGACTAGTGACAGTTGCGGAAGAAGAATCAGTCAGGAGCTATTAACAGTTTAATTGATATGCTTTTATGAAGAAGTGGGTTTTTAACAATTTTTTGAAGGAGTGGAGACTGGGTGAGCATCTAACGGAGGAGGGAAGCGAGTCTCACAGGAACGGTGCAGCCCTCAAGAAATCTTGAAGGCGAGCATCAGAGGTGGGAGTACGGACAGAAGATAGACGTAAGTCTTCAGCAGATCGTAAGGGCCTAGACGGGACATACTTGTGTATAAGGGAGGATAGATAGGTGGGAGCAGCATTATGTAGAGATTTGAAAGCAAGAACCAGAATTTTAAATTGAGCTCTATATTTTATAGGAAGCCAATGTAGGGACTGACAGAAGGGTGAGGCATGGGAGGTACGGGCGGACAGGAAGATGAGCCTCGCCGCCGCATTCATTATGGACTGTAACGGCGCAAGTTGGGAGCACATAAGACCACTGAGAAGTGGATTACAGTAGTCAAGGCGAGAAAGGACAGTGGAAAGAAACACTGAAAGAGCGCTGGGAGAGGTAGGAGGAGCACCAGGAGAGAGCAATATCTTGTAGACCAATATTGCGGAAGATGAGAAGAAGCTGTTGATGATCAACAGTGTCAAAAGCCACAGACAGGTCAAGGAGAATTAGGATAGAGTAGTGACCACGAGATTTTGCAGCGAGTAGATCATTGGATACTTTGGACAGTGCAGTTTCCACAGAGTGCTTAGCATGGAAACCAGACTAAAGCGGGTCTAGCAGAGAGTTGGACTCGAGGAAGTCTGTCAATCTCGCATACACAATTTTTTCAAGGATCTTGGATGCAAAAGGCAGTAGCGAGATACAACGATAGTTGGATGGGGAGTTAGGGTCAAGATTGGGCTTCTTTAGAATTGGGGTTACAGTGCATGTTTGAAGGGCAATGGAAATATACCAGAGGAGAGAGAGAGATTGAGAATTTTAGTGAGAGGTGGAGAAAGAGAAGAAGACAGAGTACGGATGAGATGCGAGGGAATTGGATCTAGGGAGCAGGTGGTGGGGCGGGAGGACAGGAGCAGAAACCTCTTCCAATGTAGCGGGTGCGAATGAACATAGAACAGCAGAGGGAGTGAAGTTAGGGGAAGTATTGTAAGGGGAAGAAGAAAGATGAGAGATCTATTCTCTGATTGTAGAGATCTTGTCAGTAAAGTGAGTTGCAAAATCTGAGGCGGTCAAGTTAGTGGGTGGAGGAGGAACAGCAGGGCGAAGAAGTTGTGAAATAGTTGTTTGGGTTCGCGGGAGAGTGTGGTTATGAGGGTATTGAAGTAATTAACTTTTGCAGAGGAAAGAGCCAAGCTGTATGAGCTCAGCATAAATTTATAGTGGAGAAAGTCAGATGCACAGTGAGACTTTCTCCAACAGGGTTCAGCAGTTCTAGAGCATTTTTGGAGGTATCGAGTGAGTTTGGTGTGCCAGGGTTGGTGTTGGGGGCGCCTGCGGCATTTAAATGTACAAGGTGCCATGATGTCTAGTTGAGAGGAGAGGGTGGAATTGTAGAAGGAGGTTACAGAACTAGGACAGGTGAGGTTTGAGATAGGTAAAAGGAGAGTTTGGAGATTAGTGGAGAAATGCTCTAGGTCAAGACATTGGAGGTTTCTGTGAGAGTGATGTTAAGACAGTGGTGTCAATTGGGTCTTAAGTATGCCAATGTCAAAAGTCAGCAGATGGTGGTCAGATAGAAGAAAAGGAATATTGGAGAGATTAGAGGCAGTACAGAGGTTGGTGAAGATCAAGAGTGTCTCCTGCTGTATGGGTTGCTAAATTGGACCAGTGCGTAAGGCCAAAGGAGGAGGTTACAGAGAGCAATGGCACTTCAACCCATTAAAACTCTATTCAAAAGGAGAGATGTAATGAAAAAGCTACACACACAGCTCACAACTGTTTTTACAAACTAGAATAGGAACACAGCACCATGCATAACGGAACGAACCACAAATGGAAGGTCACCTTCTCTTTAACTGTAGATAGGGGCTACGAAACAAAAATAAGGTATTCCCACGGCAGACCCGCAAGTCCAAATAATGCAAAGTCATTGCATTAACGGCACCCATCTTGATTGGGGACCTGAATGTCTCACTGCCTGGATGCCCACTCACTATATATAAGTGATGCAATGACAACACAAGAAACACACACGAATACTAATTACATCTCAACGTCACACAGGGGGCACCACACTCCACATAAGAACACTACACACCCGCAGTTAGGTACCATATCTTTCTCAAAAGATCACAAAGTATGATGCGAAAATGTCATGCATTACTCTTGTGGACCTGTGTGTCCAACATAGGCAACGTTAACATATCAGTATGTGCAAATGATTGCTACTAAAAACTTGCAGAATAATTGTAATTGGTTAACTCAAGACAAGGTGCTGCAGCAACTAAAGAAAGTTAATATAAACAAAGCTCCAGGGCCTGACGGTATCCATCCACGTGTACTTAAGGAACTAAGTGCAGAAATAAGTGAACCTCTGTTTTTAATCTTTCAAGATTCTTTTCTTTCAGGAAGTGTTCCGGAGGATTGGAGGAAAGCAGATGTGGTTCCTATATTCAAAAAGGGTTCAAAATCCTTGCCTGGAAATTATAGACCTGTGAGCTTAACTTCTGTGGCTGGTAAAATATTTGAAAGTTTATTAAGGGATAATATTCAAGAATTCCTTGAGAAGAACATGGTTATCAGCAAAAATCAGCATGGTTTTATGAAGCACAGGTCATATCAAACTAACTTGATTGCGTTCTACGAAGAAGTAAGTAGAAGTATAGATCAGGGTGTTGCCGTGGATGTGATCTATTTGGATTTTGCCAAGGCATTTGATACAGTTCCACACAATAGATTAGTGTTCAAACTCAAGGAAATCGGTCTAGATGAAAATGCTTGTTCTTGGGTAGAACACTGGCTTAAAAACAGAGTACAAAGAGTTGTCATTAATGGTGAATTTTCAAGCTGGACAGAGGTGGCAAGTGGTGTCCCTCAGGGGTCTGTTCTGGGACCCCTTCTATTTAACATGTTTATAAATGATCTTGAAGACCGCATTGAAAGTCATGTTTGCAGATGACACCAAACTTTGTAAAACAATACAATGTGAGCAAGATATTACTTTGCTGCAGAGGGATTTAGATAGACTGGGGGACTGGGCACTCAAATGGAAGATGAAAATTAATGTTGAAAAATGCAAAGTTATGCACTTCGGCGTAAAGAATACACAAGCAACGTATACCCTTAATGGAAGCGAATTAGGGATAACAACACATGAAAAGGACTTGGGAATTGTTATAGACAACAAACTATGCAACAATGTGCAATGTCAATCAGCAGTGGCCAAGGCCAGTAAGGTATTGTCATGCATGAAAAAGGGCATTCATTCTCGGGACAAGAATATAATTTTGCCTCTTTATAAATCACTGGTAAGACCCCATATTGAATATGCTGTGCAATTTTGGGCACCTGTTCTAAAGAAGGATATTATGGCACTAGAAAAAGTGCAGAGGCGGGCTACAAAATTAATAAAAGGAATGGAACATATCGGCTATGAAGAAAGGTTAACAAATTTAAACCTATTTAGTTTAGAAAAACGTCGCCTGAGAGGGGATATGATAACATTATACAAATATATTCGGGGCCAATACAAACCATTGTGTGGAAATCTATTCACAAACCGGACTTTACATAGGACACGAGGCCATGAGTTTAGACTGGAAGAAAGAAGATTTCGTCTAAGGCAAAGGAAAGGTTTTTTTACTGTAAGAACAATCAGGATGTGGAATTCTCTGCCTGAGGAAGTGGTTTTATCAGAGTCCATACAGATGTTCAAACGGCTACTAGATGCATACTTGCAAGAACAGAATATTCAAGGATATAATCTTTCAATGTAGGGTAATAACTGCTTGATCCAAGGATAAATCTGACTGCCATTCTGGGGTCAAGAAGGAATTTTTTTCCTACCTTGTTGCAAAATTGTGCTTCAAACTGTTTTTTTTTGCCTTCTTTTGGATCAACAGCAAATAACAAATGTGAGGTAGGCTGAACTTGATGGACGCAAGTCTCTTTTCAGCTATGTAACTATGTAACTATGTAAGTAGTCATCATCTTAAATGGAGACCTGCGCGTCTCACTGTTTGGTTACTCAATTACTCAATCGTTCTATATAATCGCTGTAAAGGAGTGGAGGGGGAAAATATGCATTAACTAGAACAGTCTTTATAATAAGTGATGTCCTTTTCTGAATATTGAATGTAAAAACTGTTTTGTTATGTTGGTACTTAATAAAACTTGATTTATTAAAAGCTGCCCATGTATTTATGGATGAGGAGTCGGGAGAGATATTTTCTTTGAAATAAAGAGAAATTAAATTTTTTTTTTTTTTTAAAGTTGATGTAAAAAAGCCTCAAAAGGGACATAAAGAGGAAAAGAGGCAAGTAAAATTATGGAAAATGTAGTAAAGAAACACAGAAGGGGAAATAAGGAGATAAGAAAAAATAAACACGTGTTGGCACATATAAAAAAAAGTATTACAACTTGAAGCAAGCATGAACTAAAACTGTGAATAAATACAAATACAGACATAACATAAAAATAGAACTAATGGAAATAACAATTAAAAAAAATTAAAAATAAATAAATTATAAGATCAAAATCTGCATTTTATCAATTTAAAAACCCAACTTTCACACCAGTTGTTCATGTGGGGTAAGTAGGGGCTGGTTACTAGATTCTCTACCTGCACCTTTTGGCAGAAACTCTGCATCAGATCAGTAAGCATTTCTCTGGGAATCCACACACGAGAATATATTTAACAGAGTATCTGCCACGTAGTAAATCCTAATAGATGACAGTGACACTGCCTCTTGTTATAGAGTGGCAATATCTACCGTGGTCAAAATATACTGTTTACCTGAACTACTTGGAATAACTAGGTGTCCTATAATATTAGGTTTCCTGTCAAAAACCATTCCCCCAATATGAGAAGGGGTAAAAAGGGAGCCATACCCACCTCCTCAGGCATCCCCACTTTCTGGCAATTATGACAGGCATGGCAGTAGTCTCAGACACCTTTTCCAATATCAGGACAACAGAAATGTTGTGACAAGTGAAATTTTGTCTAATGTACCCCTAGTTGTCCAGGCTTGGGGACTGCCTGAACCACCCGTAACAATTGGTCCATTGATCATCTTAGGCAGGACAAGTCGTTTTTCAACTACACAGGGATCTTGTCCATTCTGTGGTAATAGTTTTGCTTTGTGAAATCTAAAAATAAGACTATATTATTATTTTACTAATATATATATTGTGATAAAGTGAAGGCAGATAGGCCTTTTAACCCCAGGGGGAGTATGTGTAGGATGTGTTGTAGGCAACACAAAATGCTGTTTAGTTATGGGCCCCTGGGGTGGAGCATTTGGAGAGAAGGGTGGGCCAATGCTCCACTCCACAGTTTAGTGGTTTTCTGGGGAGACATAGATCTAGGCCAGGGTTTTTTGGATCGTCTCCAACCCACTGCTCAGCTGCAGTTAATGAGCTATTGCAGTGGTAATAAGCCCCTCCCTGCTAGGCAGGTAAAGGAGAGGGATTGCTGGCTTCCTCCCAGGAAGCAGGTAGGAGAGAGAGGCTGTTCTCTCCAGATAGTCAAGGAGACTAGGCACTTGGAGTGCAGAAAGGAAGCAGTCAGGGCAAGGCTGGCTTGGAGCACTGGGAGTGCAGAAAGCAAAGCAGTCAGGGCAAGGCTGGCTTGGAGCACTGGGAGTGCAGAAAGGAAAGCAACAGGTTAGATAGCAGAGCGTTGCTCTCTAATAAGGTTGGTGCAAGATTGTGTTTGGTTTCTATGAGTGGAAACAGAGAGCTGAAAACCCTGAAGCAGTAAGGCTGTTTATGTTTATGTTTATGTTTATGTTTATGTTTATGTTTATGTTTATGGAAAATGGACAAGCCATCCAACCCAGTTAGCTGATTATTTTGTTTAGTTAGTGCTCAGAAGAGCAAGGCTTTTGTTTGATATATTTTTGTTACCTTTATACCTTACTGTGCATTTATTTTGGAACCTCAATAAAAGAGCAAGTCAGTTTACCTCATCCAGCGTGTGAAGTGTCTCTAAAGCCTGAAAAGACTGTGTGTAACACCCCAATCCCAGGACAAGGTACCAAGGGAAAGGAGTACTTTTGTCACAATATATATACACATATATATATATATATATATATATAGTGCCAGCAAATTCCCTAGCTCTGTACAATGGGTGGACTAACAGACACGTAATTGTAACCAGACAAATGGACGCACAGGAACAAAGGGGTTGACGGCCCTGCTCAATGCTAGAGGGAGTGGGTTACATGCTAGAGGGAGTGGGTTATAGTGACACAAAAGGTATAAGTAGTGGTAATAAAATAGGTTGCTGGAAAAGTATTCACTTAGGTTATTTTTGACAGTTGCAGGAGAGGAGTCATGGGGGGGGGATTCATTACAGATTGCAGCAGTGCAATCTGGTAACACGTAAAACCACTGAGAAGGGGGTTTGCAGTAGTCAAGGCGAGAAAAAACAAAGGCATGGACCAGCACGTTAGTTGCGTCTGGTGTTAAATAGGGGCGGATGAGATGGAAGCGGCAGGATTTGGTAATTGACTGGACATGAGGGATGAAGGAGAGGTCGGAGTCAAAGAGAACACCTAGGCAGTGAGTCTGCAAGGTAGAGGTGATGGTAGCGCCGTTGACTTGGAGGGAGACAGACACGGGAGTAACAACACTTTAGGGAAGTTCTGTTTTGGATAGGTTGACTTTAAGGAACTATATGCTTTTAGACTACTGTTTGGACTTTTACTTTAGAATTATTAGGTCCAAAAGTGACCTCAACAGAACTTAAGGTTAAGAGAAAAATAAGCTTTAACAAGCTAAATAAAGACTATTTTTGGCTAGTGAATTACATTTCACTCCTCTGCTTTTCTGCCAGGTTTTGTTTGATGTGTCTTTTCCTTGCTTCTGCTTTAGTATAAAGAGCCTTCTGATGCATAACATCTGCACACAGCTGTACAAACTAGATATGTAGAAGATTGCTGGAATACACATAACCCATTCTATGGTATCCAGCTACATGTTCCGTGGTTTGAACTCATCCCAAACAAGTACAGTACATTCCTTAGCTTAAATTATACTTTGCTTGTAGGTGTCATTGACCAAAATAATCTATGGATCATAATCAGAACATTTCACAATACAATTATAACAGGAATATTTAGGCACACACAAGAACCTTTCTACATGAAAACGTTACAATTTTTCTTGCATGTCCTCAGTTGCCTGGATACCAGAGTAAATGTTACCACTCCCATAAACCATGCTAATTCTTGCATACTTATGGCAAAGTGACAAAAACCAATTATTTCTGCTTCCCACCAAAAAACTATAGTTTGGACCTGGCATGTAATATTAAATCTATTTTAGAATTCATTAGTACTGTAACTTTTTAAAAATATATAAAATATGCACTATTTCACACAGTTTTGTAGCAAGCAAATATAGTTCTGAACTACTGAAGTAATATACTAAACCTATTTTATGTAATTTTATCAGACAAATCGCATGACATGTGCACAGTCGTTATTCGGAATGTGCTAAAACCTTAATAAAATAACTCTGTGACACCATTTCTGTTGGAGTATAAAGTCCACAGCTTTATTAAAAATTTTAATTCAACAATTTAACAATTTAGGGTCATTGTCACAAGTATTAATTATGTCCGACCTTCTTGCCCAATACCCCCGACAATGACCCTACCAAATAACATAATAAAACATTCCAATAATACATAACGTTTAACCCATGGCCTACCAAAGAGGCCCCATAACCATATGTTTAACTGTAGGGGTGTACCCAGACACCCCTACACCCCCAGATTCGTAGCCACCAACGAGCTAGAACCTACAAACCATTTTCCACTCCGGCACCCAGGCCCTATTCCCGCCTCTGTGACCTAACGGGAAACTACCTACCAAACAAGACAACCGAACACATAGGGATGGTGGGAGGGACAAGTATCAAGTAAGTGTGATTTTGATTAAAAAGGCCAGCTCACCAAATTGGCTGTTATTTAAACCCTTATTCTCCTCCCCCCCCTGTC